CTTCAGGTGGGGTAACTGACCATAGCCTTATCCAATCCGTCGTAAAAACAGCCGCACTTTCTGCTATAGGCAATGGACTCTTGGCGTGTTATTCACACGGTGGAAACATCGGTCGATATTCGCGGGTGGTGACATCGCGATGATCTGGTCGCCCCGCCAATCATGGTGTAGTTTTCAAAGCATATACTCTCCACCGTCCGTGCTTCACGCATTGGGAAAGTAATATACTTGATGAAGGGATCTCATTGCCAGTATTAAGCAAGTATGACTGGATGAATATCTTCTGAGATTCCACACCATTTACTTTCAGACAAACCTCTTCTTATCCACCCAAGACGGGATACGCACCAGCAGTGGTCGACCGCTTCGGTTTTCAATCTCAAGATGTCCTGTTCGGGAAAGATGACTGGTAAGGCGCACCCCTTCCGCTTCGTGGCTGAATAACAGATTAATGCGGACGCCGGCAGCGTCTGAAGTGATGATGGACGAGAGGGCTTCGCACATCCCGTCTACGGCACCAGATGTAATATCATACGTTGCGATAGTTGCATCTAGATGCAGAAGATAATCATTGGGCGTTGGAAAGCTAAAACCGCCGCGCAAACGCGAGGCACGGTGATGACGGCTATCATCTGTTTCCATCAGGGTCATCGGACAGGTCATCTACATCAATAACCTGCGAAGGCAGGAGATGTCCGCGAAGTATGCGCTCTGCGTCCTCGAAGTAGTTCGCCCAGCCGGCGTTGCCCAAAAGGAGTGCAGCACGCAGCAGGTCGCCGGTGTTATTAGATTCGCCGCGAGGATGAAATTATGCAGCGATTCCATCGACCAGCCGAAACTGCTGTTGAAACGCGGACATCCGACGTCGTAAATGGCTTTGATTCTGTTCAACAAATCGGCGTCGTTGGTGAGGCGCGCGAAGTCAAGCATTCCGGCAACCATGGCGTTGAGGGAATGACCGTGTATCCCTGCTTCTTTCCCTGAGGCTTCCTTCGGGTGTAAAACAGTGTTCGAGCGCATAGGAAGTCATAAGTCCTGCCATTCTAATGCAGCAGGATCGCCTGTGATGCGATAGTTCCGGACCAGCGCATCAACAGCGCGACCTTCTTGGGATGGCTGGTGGTTATATTCTGAGACGTAAGAGGGAAGACGGTCAGTTGGATGGCACCGTTGTCATTTAGTGCAGCGCGGACTGTCCGAATCATCCGCCGGCTCCATTCTCGCGCCCGCTCGATCACCGCGAATGATGAGACCGTTCAGGGCGTGGGTGGATTCGCGTATGTTATGGAGATGGACGAAACGCTCACCGGTATCGTTATCCGCCGTAGCCGGGCAGATTATCCGCCTCATCGAACAGGGCAATCTGAAGATCCGCGAGATCCGTCCAAATCGCTTCGTCAACGCATTCCCCCCGTGGCGCGCTCCGCCATACCGATAGCGTGAATGGCTCTGGCAACATCGTGACACCAGTCCCATGCGCCAGAATGATTAAACGGCTTCAACTGCCCTTCAGCAAAGCCGATAGACCAGTACGGCATGTGCTTATTCGTCGAGTCAAGCCCGCCTACAAGCGAATTCAACCCCAGTCGAATATGATTCAGCATATCTACCGGTTCCAAATGCTGCATTTATCATTCTCTCCTTTGGACTGATCCCATCTGCACCCTACACGACATGTGAGTGGGTTGGCAACCGTCATGGCTATGTTCCATAATGCTGTGGTGATGTTCGCCAGCTTCTTCGACTGGGTCAATATGGATGACTGCCCTAGAAAGGTAGCTCAGATGATGGAAAAGCTGATGTTGAACCTCCTTCGCTATTGTATGTCCTTCAGCGACGGAGAGGTGCGGTGTCACAGCGATATTGACTTCCGCATGTAGGCGGTGCCCGATCCAACGGCTGCGAACATCTGTTACCTCCTCACCCCCTCAACATGGTAAGCGGCGTGGTTTATCTCATCAATTACGTCATCCTCCACACCGTCCAACAGGCGAGTAAATACCGCTTTTCCTGACTGCAACACAATCCCAAAAATCGCGATGGTGATAAGCCTCCGACGATGGGATCTGCAAGCGGATAACCGAGCCATATCCCAATCGCCCCCGCCAGCACCGCGAGACTTGTCCAGCCATCAAACGCGTGCGTGGTAGCCATCCGCGACAAGGGCAGCACTCCCAATCTCTTTACCGACCTTAATCCGAAATATCGCAACCCCCTTCATTGCCTATAAAACCAATCACTGATGCAGGCGGCAACGATCCAAGGTGTCCAACGGTTTGAGGGTTAAAGAAGCGATTAACCGATTCGTATCCTGCAACAATCGCGCTAAACAGTATCGTAAGCACGATTGCGATACCCGCCAAGTCCTCGACGCGCCCATAACCGTAGGTGAACCGTTTGCTCGGTTTTAAGCGGGCGAAGGAGAAAGCAATCCACAGCGGAATCGCAGTTGCTGCGTCGCCAAAGTTGTGGATCGTGTCAGCAAGCAGTGCGACACTACCGGAAATCACAACCACGCCGACCTGTAACAGTGCGGTTACCATCAGTCCTAAGAAGGACCACTTTATCGCCCAGATGCCGCGCTCTGTGGTTATAATGGACGGGTCAATGACGCCGTGTGTATGGTCGTGTTCGCCATGGTCGTGGCTGTGACCGTGATGATCATGTTCTTCATGGTCGTGGTGGTCATGGTGGTCATGACCATGATGGTGATCATGTTCGCCGTGATGATGGTGCGTTTTTTTTCTAAACATTAAGAAGCACCTCCTAAGTGGGAACGTGAGAGCGGGGAAGCGTGGGGACGAGACAGCGTGTAAAACCCTCGCCTTCTCGCCGCCTCGCCTCCTCACATACTCACTTTCTCCTCTTCTCAATCCCGCGGCAAAGGTAAGCGAACTTTCGCACTGTCATGTGATTGTGATCGTAATGCGCCTAGCATAATTTCCAGTGTGTGCCGGGCGCGGCGCGGCGGTGAACTACTCGGCACATCGTTCCAAACCATCTGGGCAAGTTCCCGGACAGGATGAATCAAACTATCGCCGAAGAAGTCTCCGTAGGTTTCGCCCTGGGGTGCCGGTGCTTCCGTCGCTGTCCCTTCGGGCTGATCTGTTTTCCACGCTTTGCAGTGGCTGTCGTTCAAAACATAGCGACCATTCGGTCCTTGGAGATCGAATTCGCAACCGGCGGGCGTCATCTTGGCACTGTTCACGATGCCGCGCACCCCGTTGGAGAACTCAATCAAAATCGACGATGCTGGATCAAGTCCAGGATCGTGACCGCCTTCCCCCTTGTACTCAATGCCGTAGTCCTCAAAGCCTTGCTCGTGGGCGGCAATGAGCCAAACCGGGTCTGCATCAGCGAAGTAGACAGACAGCGTCAATGAGATGCGTGCCGTTACGGAAAAGCATTGACCGACGTCCCCCCATGTGTGCGATAATACGGGTCAATCCACCGATTTCACCTTCCCGAACCGAGGTTCGTACCGCTTGGTACAGGGGCAGCCAACTCCGCGTATGATCCACCGACATCTTGGTGCCGTTCCGCTCAACCGTCTCAATAATCCGATCAGCGTCTTCGAGGTTAATTGTCAGCGGTTTCTCGCAAAGAATCCCTTTGATCCCGGCGTCCGATGCGTCACAGACCGGGTTGGTGTGATAATCGTCCGGTGTCGCTACGCTGACAACATCCAGATTCTCCTTTTCGAGCATGGCGCGATAGTCGTTGTACTCGTGGACCGAGCCGCGTGTAATCTTTGAACGCTCGAAGAAGTTGTCAAGGACATCGGGTTTCAGGTCACAGACTGCGACCAGTTCAAATTCAGGGGCATTGGCATAGGCATATCCATGATATGACCCAAGCCACAACCGATAACACCCGCTCGTAATTTTTCATTGCTCATTGTTCACCTCATTATGTTGGTCTTTCTTACAACTCAACAGATTGGGGTTGAGGGAGTCCTGCAGGGAAGCCGTAGGGAAGATCATTCCGATCTGCGGGCAGGGGCCAGCTTTGCCCACCCAGATTCTGGAACGATTTGTGGCGGCCACAGAGCCATAAGAACATCTCCGATACCTTGATTGTGTCGCGGAACTGCTCCATATACGCCCCGCCAGGACCAGTGTATTGAGCGGTCGCAAAATCGAAATCCGGCTCGATCGCCCAGTCCCGTTGTGGCGGAGTTGTGCGCCAGTAGAAGTATTTGAGTAGGTTGCGGATGCCCGAAGCGGTTGACGGTCCGCGCCGATGCCAGATGTGGTATACGGTCAGGAATATGGAACCGGCGGGTGCAGTGGTGGGGATAGCCCCCTTGATGTTAGCCAAATGTCCCATGAACCTTGCCTTGTTTCGCACAAGATGAGTGCCAGGCACAATCTGTGTCGGACCCATTTCAATGGACGTATCCTGTGGGTAGTAGAAAACCTGCAAAAAGTTGAGTTCGTGCGTGTAGTGATAGTTACCATCCACATGCCACCCACCCACAGTCTGAATGGGGCACTGTACACGATGGTTGCTCATCAGTATTGGCAGATGAAAGTTAGCCCCCAGAAGGGAACGCACAGCACCAGCGGCTGCCGGATGAACTATCACATTCTCAACAAACCAGTCTTCCATCAGGATGCCGCTTGGCTCCATATTGGAGTGTTGGTCGCAGTATTCCATCGTCCTGCGATTGACATCATCGGGGACAACACCCTCAAGCATCAGATACCCATTCTTACAGAACTCTAGCACCTGAGTATCTGTCATCGTCGGTTCACAGTCGTAGGTTTTCCGTTCTGATATTCGCATGGTTTACCTCCAGCGTTCAAGAATGAATTCAGCACCCAAGCCGTAGAACTCTTTTTCATCTACAGCAAGCAGTGCCATATTCGGGAAAGAAATGATCCGCCAGCCATCCCGGACAGCTTCTATGACTGTCTGATAGGGCCAATCCTCGGGTTAGGCGGTCCCTCACGAAGTTCTCCATCCTCAACCAGCAGCATACCGACCACCGCCGCTCCGGGGGAAGTGGTTACCGCTTGCAGATAGAGGACATCCTGCCGTTTCGGGCTGTCTGCCCCGACAATGTCCACAATTCCCTTGCGCAGACTAGCTTCCGTCAGTGCCCCCCGTTGGAGTTCCGTCACTAGTGCCTCCATGGTTTCTTTCTGCGTTTCAGTCATCGAGTTTTTCCCTCGTTCAAGGTTATGATTCTACTGGCAAAAGTTCCAATTATCTCTCCATCGAATTATACACGAATTTAGTTGCCTTGCCAATAGAAAACGTGATAGCATAAAAAAACCCCTTTACACGCTTGGCGATCCACCGGCTTCTGAGTTTGGACGCCACATCGGGGAGTTTGGATTTCCTTTGTAAATTTCTATACCGTGCTGGCATTCACAAAAACTACATAAGTCGTGATTTTATGAACAGAGGATGGGGTATATAACAACGGTCCCGTTCAACTCCTTAGATCAAAACATCAGAAAGGAATCAACATGTTAAAGGCAGGATTTATCGGTGCTGGCGGTCGAAGTCAAGGTGCGCACTACCCGAATGTAAATCGCCTCGAAGATAATGTAGAGATGGTTGCGGTATGCGAACTTGACGAAGAACGATTGAATCAGGTCGCCAAGAAATATGAATTCTCGCACACTTTCACAGATCACCGCGAGATGCTCGATAGCGTTGACTTGGATATTATCTACTGCGTGATGCGTGAGGAGTGGATATTGCAACCCGCGCTCGATTGCCTCAACGCGGGGAAACATATCTTCATCGAAAAGCCACCCGGTGCTAACAGCGATGAGACACAGCAGCTGCTTGACACGGCAATTGCGAATGATGTCTATGCGATGGTCGGTTTTCAACGCCGTTACGCCGCAGTGACCCGTGAGGCGATGCGGCGCGTGTCGGAGAAAGGACCTGTCTCTACAGCAATAACCACTTTCAACAAGCAGATTCTCGGTGGCGATGGCAAGGAGTTCACGACAACACTCTGGAACGATGTGTGTCACGTTGTAGATCTACTGCGGTATATGGCAGGAGGTGAACCTGTCGAGGTGACGGCGTATCGGGACAAGTTCGGCAGCGAAAGCCGAAACTGTTACACCGCGCTCGTTCGCTTTGATAACGATGTAACGGGCGTTTTGCTTGGGAATCGGGCGTCAGGGGGGCGGGTGCTTCGCTCAGAACTTCACGGCGTGGGGATCGGGTGCTACATGAAGATCCCAGCGGAGATCGAAATTTACGAAGACAACCAGAACCACACGATGGGCGGCTGGGAGGTTGACGGGGTTGACGAGCGGGATACGCCTCGATATGAAGGTATCCTGACAATGCACGAGCACTTTGTAGATTGCGTGCGTAACAAGAAAGTCCCAATTAGCGATCTCCGTGACGCGATCCATTCGATTCACCTTGTTGACCAGATTGAAGGGACTTTGCTGGACTCGTAGAACGTCAAAGATCAGTAAATCCACGGGAAATAAGACACGGCGTTAGCCGGTATCGGACACCATCGGCTAACGCCCCGGCATCCTGTGATCGCTATTTGAGTTTCAACAAAAGTTGAGCACCCCATTTTAGTGCGGAAGAAGGGCTTTATGGCAATAAATCAGATCAAAGCGCACCTTGAAAGCGACAAAATTCAGAAGATTAAACTCGCTGGCTTCGATATTGATGGGGTTATGCGTGGCAAATACATTTCGCTCGACAAATTTTTTTCTGCTGTCGAAAAGGGCTTAGGTTTCTGTGATGTGACATTCGGCTGGGATATGATCGATCAGCTCTACGAGCAACCGACTGTCACAGGTTGGCATACCGGGTATCCAGACCTCCTTGCCAAGATTGACCCGAGTACATATCGCGTGATGCCTTGGGAGCCAAATACAGCACTGTTTTTGCTTGACTTTTACGCGAATGAAGATCAGCCACTTACCGTTTCCCCGCGCCAACTGCTTCAAACAGTTGTCCGTAAAGCGAACGATATGGGATTCCAGCCGTTCATGTCAGCGGAGTACGAATACTTCATCTTCCGAGAGACACCCCATTCTCTAGAGGACAAAGGATTTGAGAACATGACGCCGCTCTCGCCCGGCTGGTTCGGCTATAGCGTGTTACGGGCATCTGCGGCTGCGGAGTACGTTCATGCAATTATTGATGGGATGGAAGAGTATGACGTTGAGCTAGAAGGGATACACACAGAAACGGGACCCGGCGTATATGAGACTGCGATTCGGTACGACACGGCGTGCAACGCCGCAGACAAAGCCGCACTTTTCAAAACTGGTGTGAAAGAGATTTTAATCAGGCACGGACTCGTTGCAACCTTTATGGCAAGGTGGAGTCTAGACTACCCCGGTTGCAGTGGCCACCTGCACCAGAGTTTATGGGATTTAGAAGGGAACACAAATCTGTTTGCCGATGAATCAGATGCAGCCGGTATGTCTCAAACGATGAAGCACTATATCGCGGGACAGATCGCTGCAATGCCTGAAATGATGGCTCTCATCTGCCCGACAATCAACTCTTACAAGCGGACAGTCCCCGGCGCATGGGCTCCAACCAACGCCTCTTGGGGAATTGAGAATAGAACAGCATCCCTCCGCGCAATTCCCGGCACCTCCCCTAAATCCACGCGGACTGAATATCGGCTAGCCGGTGCTGACGGCAATCCACATATCGCTATGGCGGCAAGCCTCGCTGCGGGGTTATACGGTATTGAGCATCAACTCGACCCCGGTGAGCCGTTCAACGGTAATGCCTATGAAGCCCCCCAAGGGCGATTTGAACCTTTGCCAGGATCGCTGGCAGAAGCAACGGATCGGTTGAAAGGCAGCAAAATCAGCCGCACCTGCCTTGGTGATGCGTTTGTGAATCACTTCGTAATCACACGCGAGCATGAAATTATGGAATTCCGTCGCGCCATAACGGATTGGGAACTCAAACGGTACTTCGAGATTATCTGATACTATGCTCCCTCAACCAATTCAGCTAGCAATGTTCGACATGGCTGGGACCACTGTCAACGATAAAGTCGACGGACACCCGCTGATGGTCATCAGTATGATGCGTGCCTTTGCAAAGCATGGGATTGAACTTGCTCCAAACCTAATTAATAAGCATCGGGGAAAGCAGAAGTCTGAAGCTATCCAAACCCTCCTGCGCGAAGTTGCAGAGCTATCTCCCGCTGATGTCGAGCGCGTTGGAGATGGTGTGTATCGTGATTTCCTCCATGAACTGGAAAGGGACCTTTCGAGTATCTCGGAGATTGACGGCGCAACCGAGCTTTTCCGACACCTCAAATCCAAGGATATCCATATTGGAGTGGGAAGCGGCTTTCCGATGCAGATTGTTCAGGCAATCATCTCCCGACTGGGTTGGCTGGACAAGGGGCTGCTTGACTATGTAGGGAGTGCGGAGCAGGTCGGTGTGGGACGCCCCAACCCGAAAATGATCCATGACGCTATGCAACAACTCAGTGTCACAGATGGACGAAAGGTCGTCAAAATTGGAGATACCGTGGTGGATGTTCAGGAGGGGAAGAACGCTGGTGCATGGACGGTCGCTGTGTTGACGGGATCTCAGACAGAAGCACAATTGATGGCAGCGGTACCGGATTACATTTTATCGAGTATTCGAGAGTTGAGGACATTGATTCCCCGGTGTGCACTCTAGTGCTCGGCAGCGAAAAGCGTTTATCGGACAACCTGTTTGAGCCAACTCCACATCGTGAATTGCTTACCCACAGGAACAACTGCAAAAGCAGGAAAATACCACGCAGGCTCACGATCATGTGCTGTTGGTGAGGTTTTGAGGATTCTTACCATTGGTGCTCATCACGTAGATTTCCCAGTGCCCAGCCCTATCGGAAGCGAAGGCAATCTGTGCCTGCGCGTCAACGCCTACCATCAGCATCGTCAAACCCAAGAGGACAACACTAGACAGAATGAAACATGCAAGATTGCATCTGCTGTGCCTCCTTCGACTGAAAATTAGGTTCTGTTGACATTTCAACGAAGCTAGATAAGATCTAACGCCAATCGTTGCCAAACGAAATTCACTTGGCTCATTGACTACACGCATTAAGATAGCGCAAGTTGGTAGTTGATAACCAAGCGTCAGAAACCGGCGCAATAGTCGGGAATTGGAATTCCTCTCCTACACAAAACATGCGGTAGGGAGCGTACCCTCCGATTGCGACTCTGACTCGACCTATGGTCTATCTAAATATCCTTCAGCGGGATATGTCTATAGAATGTTGTCGCTGGCTCAAAACGATCTACAGTATAAACCTCCTTGCATTCAAGTTGTCGGTCATCCCGCCGTGCGCTCCCACGCCTCAGCAAACGCCGCAGAACCGTCGTCATCCCAGAAGTACATATCCACCGGCTGATTGTAACCGGGACCATGCCCATCTATAAAACTTGGACCTGTGCCCAGACCGTCGCCCACAGAACGGACTGGCAGCCGCGCGTAAATCGGCGCGAGTCCCGCATACTGAATCTGTATCAAGGCGCGTGGTAACGGATCGGGTTCAACCGTAGACCAGTGAGCAAGCGCGTCCCGGTCAAGTGTCACGCCCAACCCCGGTTCCTCCGGCACGCGCACTGTCCCGCCAGCTGCCTCAAGTGCCGGCGTTACAATATCTTCTGCCCACAGGTGAGTGCAGGTGACGTGGTGCAGCGTCGCCATCGGAAAGACCGCCGCCATGTGTATGATAAACGCTTGCGCGATGTTGCCGCCCGTGTTCTGCATCATGAACGGTACATTCGCTGCCTCAAACAACCCCGCTCGTTGAATAACCTGGCCAGGGGGGGCGTGACCCAACATGTAACCGTCCGCAAGTCCCATTAACGCCTCCCGTCCACCCAACGGCAGATGGTGAAAGTAGATTGGCAGCGGACACTTGTCTCGTAGTGCGCGATATCCTTCAAAATCGTGCGTACGCAGCGGGTCTTCAATCGCTCCTGCGACCGGGAACTGTATCAATTCTCGCGCCAAGTCTAAGACATGCTCCACTGTATTGTCAAAATTGATATCGTAATGGATCTTGAATCCCGGTGGTGCGCGCTCCTCAAGCCTAACTTGCATCGCCTCCGTCTGTGCTACAACGTTGTGGCAGTGGAAGGTGTGGAATTTGAGCCATGTGTAACCCGCAGCGGCTGCGTGCTCAACCTCCTCCGCCATCTTCTCAGGCGTCTGCGAGACTGTCCATGCGGCCATCGGCACACGCGAACGGACTTGTGGTCCGAACAATTTATAGGCGGGGACGTCATTGTACTTGCCGACCAAATCGTAGATAGCTGGAGCGAGGGCGATAGGGAGAGACGGGTGCGCTAACCAATCGCACGGATTCGTACCACGCAGCTGCTCAATCCAGTCGTCTATCCCATCCCACAATCTGCCGACATGCTCGCCTAAGCCTTCCAAGCCGTTATCGGCATGAACGACAAAGACCGTGCGACAACGGAAGTCGGGACCCTGATAACGCGTCAATGCCTCGCTATTCCACGCCTGAAACGGTGGGCAGATAACGTGTGTTTCGATATCGGTGATTTTCATGATTTTGGTGTCTCCTCCTCTAAGCAGGTTGATAACCTTCGTGCATGTTGTTGATGAAGCGATGAACGGAAGCTGTTGGGATGAAGGCAAGGTACAGAAGAATCATGGTCAAAGTAAAAGTACGGATAGGCAATAAGATGTAGAAAAGGACATGCAAGACGATTCCAGCAGGCATCAAATATTTGCGAAATTTGGGGATATACAGCCCGAAGGAGAGTAGGAATTCCAGTATAACGGTGGTATTTGCAATAACAAAACAGAATGCAGAAAACCAAGGGAGGCTTGCATAATCAAACCCCGCATAATAGTTGTAAGCGAGGAGTTCCATACGGGCACCACTCAAAAACCCCCAATACAGTTTTTCGTAGGCGGTCCAGAAATAGACCATCGACAATTGAACTGGCAATTAGGCGTAGTCCCCACAAATTGCCGATTTCAGACAGCGGTGGTAATCCTGATTTTAGCGCGCGGCGGAGTGCCAACCAACGATCTAACGAGTATGAGCGACCGCACGGTGTCAGTGCAATAAAGAGGGTGGCCATAACCAAGAGGAAGGTGTGATAATGCCTGAATGACTGATGTATGTTAAACATTATCGAGACAATGATGGCTGTCCCCATTGATGACACGCGCGTCCATAGCCCGACACACATGAGCCCGGTAAAGAGGAAAAACGCGGAATTGAGTAGAATCGCACCCAGCCGTATATCCCGACAGAGTATCAGGTCACCCTGCCCATTCAGACCAGATGAGCAGAACCAATCCGATTCGGATTAAACCCACCGAACGGGTAGAATCACGATAACACAACCCCCAGTTATAAAAACGTTGTAGGAGCCGTAACAAGGTTTTCATCGCTTATGGCTCTCCAGATGGATATATCCCATTCACTCGATACGTTTATCCACATATAGGGTTTTCCATCCGTCGCGTGTGCCGATACGTGCGTTTACCCGCAAATCAGCAGTATCTCCCCCTACTTTCTGTCGTATGCGTTGCCCCACTTTCAACATGCCTTCCGCGCCCATAATGCGCCGCGAATGGTGGTGCGATCCCAGCAATTTGTCACGCCCTAATGTTTGGAAACGGTCAATGTGCTCGATGCGTCCATCCGGATGTCGGATGTAAAATTCCACATCACAGATGCCGATTCCACGAGTATGGTACATCTGCCATGCCCGAAAGGCATCCGACTTACCCTTCAGAACTTGCTTATAAAAGGGACCAAGTACAATGTATAGCATCAGCAGCGTGAAAGCAACTGCTCGGCAGACAATTACCAATTTGCTCTCAACTGACGCATCCACTGTCGTTTTTTCGGATTGATATTGACTAGCTGGGGTCATTGATAATTCTCCTCAGCTCAAGAGGGTCAACCAGCATCTCCCTCACATGATAACTATGTTAAAAGCGAACAACCAATTCTACATCCGTCAACACGATGTCAGAGGCAACTTTCGGGTGACGTTCCTCAAGTACAACCTTGACTTCGTGCGCCCCTACACTTATAGGCATATTCATCTCAAAACACAACCACGCTGCCCCACTCACATCCGAAATGCGATGCGGGTCATTGATGGCGCAATAGCGGATTGTTGGGGCATCAAGAACTGTTCCATCCCACGAGACTCGCACCACATCTCCACGCACCCACTGATCTAACCGCACCCGTAACTCCACCTGTCTGGGGATGTTAGTCGATAAGTCGTCCACCACATTTAGCGTGATCGTTGGACCTTCGCCGGTGAGCGTTTGCTTCAGTGCAACTGGCACCTCACCCCAAAGGCGGTCATTTCGGTAAGCACCCCGCCATTCCCCTGTCTCTTGTAGGAAGCGATGGGTTGCCGCATAAATTTTGTCCGTGCCTCGCAGTGTATCCGGCGAACCGATCTGTGAGAGCAATTCCCGTCTCGAATCGTGGTTCGCATGCCAGTTAAAGACATAGATGCCATCTGCGCCTGCACCGTGGTAACGGCTAGCGATAGCGCGGGTACGCATTCGGTCTTTGGTTTCTGTATCTTCGGGACCAACGAAGGCTCCGGGCAAACCGCCATCAAATCCGGGGTAGACCGCAATCAGCTTATCTCGGCATAGTTCAACAAAAGCTGCGACATCCAAGGAGGGATCCGTCGCTGCACCGCCGGCGGGGATCAGGATGTCCACCAACCCCTCATCTACCCACGTCGGAATATCGTATCCGATGTTGCGGCACATCTCCAGCGTACCAGACACACGCGCCGCTAAGTAGAACGGTCTGCCGCGTTTCTGCGCGAGCGCATCGGTCATCTGCCGCACCGCTCGCTGAAGGTCGGTCAGGACGTATCGGAGCCGATAGCCTTCATCTGCGGGCAGGTGAAAGGCGTGCCGTTGCCAGTCCAATTCGACGCCATCCCAGTCATATCGTTCGCAGATTTCCTTGATGTGTGCGTAACGATGTTCCCGTATTTCAGGGACAGCGAAGTTCCATGAGAGCGCGAACCATTCCGATGTCTGATCGCCGAGCACCCACTCCGGATGTTCAATCCGCATCTGTGTCATTCCGTGTGGTGCAATGTTTCCAAGTCAGCGACCTGTGCCCCGCTGAAGTGATTATCGTTCATGCGCACTGAGGCGTAGACATGCATCCCAAGTTGGTGCCCACGCTCGATTATGGCTTGCTGTGGATCTTCGCCACGCTCCACCATCTGACGGATGTTTTCGGTATGAACATACGCCTGAGCACTTTCATAACGCGACCATGGATATCGCCAAGTTGTTCGAGGATATCGCTCTGCCAACGGGCGGCATGTTCGCCGATACACCAGAAATGGGCACCGACCTGCGTATCTTCTAGAGGGGCGTAAGCCTTTTCCAGAAAAGCATTTACAGACTGCGGCGGCTCGGAGTAGCCGTGGGGAGCACCATCCCAGTTGTAGATAATCCGATATTCAGGAGGGGTGGGCATGTTCGTTTTCCTCTCGGTGTTTTGGATGGATAGTGAGCGAGGTCAGGCGGGTTCACTCCCACTCGATCGTGCTCGGCGGTTTAGAGCTAATATCATAAACGACGCGATTGATGCCACGCACCTCATTGATGATGCGGTTGGAAATGACGCCCAATACGTTGTGAGGAATCTTTGCCCAGTCCGCTGTCATGCCATCGGTGCTTGTCACAGCGCGCAACGCTACAACGTTTTCGTAGGTGCGCTCGTCGCCCATCACGCCGACACTCTTAACAGGCAGAAACACAGTCAATGCCTGCCAGATTTCGTCATATAGTCCTGCTTTCCGTAACTCTGCGATGAAGATTTCATCGGCTTCCCGCAGCATGTCGAGACGTTCTTGCGTGATTGGTCCCAATATACGGACAGCCAAACCGGGACCGGGGAACGGGATGCCGTCCTAGAACCGGTTTCGGGATGTCCAGTTCTGATCCGACCGCTCGCACTTCATCTTTGAACAGTTCACGAAGCGGTTCAATCAGTTTGAACGGCAGATTCTCAGGAAGTCCGCCGACATTATGGTGCGTCTTAATCGTCGCCGATGGTCCCTTGACAGACACACTCTCGATCACGTCAGGGTAAAGCGTACCTTGTGCTAGGAAATCGATCTGTCCAATTTGCTCCAACCCTTCTTTGAACACTTCAATGAACTGATTTCCAATAATTTTACGCTTCTGCTCCGGGCTTTCAACGCCCGAAAGATATTCGAGAAATTGATCAGTAGCATCAACGTAATAAACATCAATACCGAGCTCCCGAAAAGTTGACAACACCTGATCTGCTTCATTTTTCCGCAGCAACCCATTGTTGACAAAAACACAGACTAGCGCATCTCCGACCGCACGCTTAAGCAGCATCGCAAGTACTGTCGAGTCGACACCACCACTTACGGCGCATAACACGCGAGCACCACCCGTTTCAGTACGAATCTTCTCTGTTGCCTCCGCGATGAAGGACTGCATCGTCCATTCATCGCTACATTCGCAGACTTCATAGACAAAATTGGCGAGTAGCCGGTTATCGTCTTGCGTATGGATAACCTCCGGATGGAATTGCAGGCCATAGATGTCCCGATCCAGATCCGCAATCGCTGCAATTGGGGAATTGTGGGTATGGGCAACAGGGTGGAATCCGTCAGGTAAAACATCGATTCGGTCGCCATGACTCATCCAGACATCTATCGTCTTCGACAGATCTGCAAACAACGGGATCGGCAGATCTACGATCAATTCTGCTGAACCAAATTCGCGTTCAACGGCAGGGTGCACTTTTCCGCCGGCGGAAAGGTGTGCAATGAGCTGCATACCGTAACAGATACCAAGAATCGGCACACCGAGCGTTAAAATTTTCGGATCGAGCAGGGGCGCATCTGTTGCGTAAACGCTAGCAGGACCACCAGATAAGATGATACCTTTCGGTTGGATGGATGCCAGCTGATTAAGCGGAATGTTGTAGGGGTGGATCTCACAGTACACCTTATGTTCGCGGACACGCCGTGCGATTAACTGTGTATACTGGGAACCGAAATCTAAAACAACTATGGTTTCACGTTTCATTATGCCTAACCTTCTAATCTATTGAGTCGTAAATTTATTCTATCACAGATGATTAGGACAGTCAATCAAGCATTTACAAAAATCGCTTGGCTTTAGTTATTCTATGTGTTATAATTAAGTTTCAAGGACTATATACTCAGCACTTATGTGCTTTGTTGGTGCTAGCTTATTACTTTCAAAATTAAAGGAATTCCTAAGGAGGCAAATCCTAATGGCATACACATTACCCGACCTGCCGTATGCTCACAACGCTTTAGAACCGCATATTGACGAGCAAACAATGCAGATTCATCACGGAAAACACCATCAGGCTTACATCACCAATGTTAACACTGCCCTTGAAGGGCTTGACGATCTGGCAGCACTGTCGGTCGAAGACTTGCTGCGTAACGTTGACCAGGTGCCGGAAGCCAAACGGCAAGCTGTTATCAATAATGGTGGCGGACATGCCAAATCATTCACTCTTCTGGACCATCATGAGCCCCAATGGTGGTGGCAACCCCACACCAGAAGTTGCGGCTGCAATCGAATCCGCTTGCGGATCTCTTGAAGCTGCCAAAGAACAGTTCGTGACCGCTGCGACAACCCGTTTCGGATCCGGTTGGGCATGGGTCGTTGTTGATGAAACTGGCAGTATACAAATCTACTCGACTGCTAACCAAGATAGCCCCATCATGCAGGGTCATACACCGATACTAGGCCTTGATGTCTGGGAACATGCGTATTATCTGAATTATCAAAATCTGCGTCCCGCATATATTGAAGCTTGGACGAACGTTATCAATTGGGAAGAGGTCGCCAGACGTTACGCCGCTGCAAAAGGCTAAGGCGACGATTGCAAGTGAGCTAGCGTGCCTTCAGCTGCTTCACTGAAGGTACGCTACATCTTCAAACTATATATAATCAAGTCTGTCTAAAATTGAATATACAAAAGCGATGAAGGGGAGGAGTAAGTCGAGCGGTCTTGACAGAGCGGGAAATCCACCGGCTGAGAGATTTCCCCAAGTAACCCCGACTGAAGGTCGTCCTGGAGCTGCTAACCTGAAAACACCAAGTAGGGTTAGCCGATTTGATGCACGTTACGCATACCAATGAGTGCCCTTTTACACACAGTATTTAATCAACAAAAGGGAATTGGAGTGGTACCACGGTAAGGATTTAAAAGCCCTTCTCGTCTCCAAGCATGTCCTCGAAAGTTGTCCCTTGAAATTTTCAATCGGGCAACTTCTACTGAGGGTTGGAACGGGAGGGCTTTTTTATTGGACGCATTCGTAATAAAAACCGTTAGGATTTACGGTGGACTTCCTTGGTTAATTAGGGACGGGTTTCAAACCCGCCTGTGTAGGACCAAAGAAACCTGTAGCTGTTCAAATTGAATTCATGGATTTGAATGGAATCTCTTCTTTTTTATCCCGAATCCACCAATCCTTGAATTCTGATTAAGCGTAAAGGGAGAATGCTATGGAACTATCAGGAGCAAAAATACTGATTGAAAGTCTCAAACAAGAAGGCGTAGAATATGTTTTTGGTGTCAACGGCGGTGCAGCAATGCCCATCTTTGATGCCCTCTACGATCACCCTGATGTTAAACTCATCATGATGCGGCATGAACAAGGTGCGTCACACGCCGCCGATGGCTATGCACGGGCAACGGGTGAAGTCGGTGTTACGCTTGCCACTTCAGGACCCGGTGCCACAAATCTAGTAACCGGTATCGCAACTGCCTTTATGGATTCAATTCCGATGGTGGCGATTACCGGACAAGTTTATACCCATCTGATGGGGAACGATGCCTTCCAAGAGTGTGACGTGATTGGCGTGACGCGCCCGGTCTGTAAGCACAGTTACTTAATCAAAAGTGGTGATGAAGTCGCTGATGTCATAGCAGAAGCGTTCCATATCGCTAGCACAGGCAGACCTGGTCCCGTCGTTGTCGATTTCGCCAAAGATGCGCAGATCCACGAATCGTTATTCCGTTATCCAGAGAAGGTCAATATTCGCAGCTACAAACCGAAGGTAGAGGGACACCCACGCCAGATCGCGAAAGCGGTTGAATTGATTCACAACGCCGAGCGACCAATACTCTACGCGGGCGGAGGCGTAACGCTTGCTAACGCCTCTGAAGAATTGCGTGAGTTAGCAATAAAAACAGGCATTCCGATTACCGTGACACTGATGGGCTTGGGTGCATTTCCCGAAACCCATCCGCTAGCAATGGAGATGCCCGGTATGCACGGTTCCTGCTGCGCGAACTATGCGTTTACCGATTCCGATCTGGTCGTTGCGATCGGTGCCCGGTTCGATGACCGTGTGACGGGAGACCTGACAAAATTTGCGCCGAACGCAAAGAAGATCCATATTGACATTGATGCCTCCTGTATTGGCAAGAACGTTCCGGTTGATGTGCCGATTGTGGGCGATGCCAAGCGCGTATTGGCGGAAATGAACAAACTGGTGCATCGCGTGGACATTGAACCTTGGATGCGCCAAATTAATGAATGGAAAGAACAGTATCCCTTTGAGTACAACCAAAAGGGCGACAATATTATGCCGCAGTATGTAATCGAGCAGATCTACGACCTTTACTCTGATGCGATAGTTGTTGGAGATGTCGGACAGCATCAGATGTGGGCGGCACAATATTTCAAATTTACCGAACCGCGTCAATGGTTAAACTCCGGTGGACTCGGCACCATGGGATTCAGCTTGCCTGCAGCGATTGGCGCACAACTCGGCTGTCCCGATAAAACGGTTGTTAACATCAATGGCGATGGTTCATACATCATGACCATACAGGAACTTGTTCCCGCTATTACCATGAAACTCCCGCTCAAGATCTTTATCATCAACAATATGTATCTCGGCATGGTTCGACAGTGGCAGGAACTCTTCCACCAGAAACGCTACGCCGGTGTTGACTATCACGATAACCCCGATTTCGCACAGCTTGCTGATGCGTTTGGGGCAACAGGAATCCGTGTTGAGCGAATCGAGGATGTCCGTCCAGCATTGGAGAAAGCAAAGGGCATTGACGATGGTCCCGTTGTCATTGACTTTATCGTTGATGAAGAGGAAAATGTGTTCCCAATGGTTCCAGCGGGTGCGGGACTTGGCGACGTTATACGAGGTTTAGCATAGTCAATAACCCCACCCTAAAGGGTTGGGGCTTGTGTGATGTGCCTGCCAAGGACCACTCCACGAGTTAAACCGTTGACTACACAATGTTACAATCGCAGCGTCTTGGCATGGCAGCTAACACGATGTTACGGGTGCTCCCCAAGCCTGTATCCCCTCGGACGCTGTGATGTGGATGGGGCAATATAGACTCCGAAGGGAGAATTAACGATGTTTGTTCCAGTCGTTGATAGAGACCAGAACCCGTTGATGCCGACAACACCTGCCAGAGCCCGTAAATGGATGAAGTCAGGCAAAGCCACGCCATTCTTTAAGAACGGCGTATTCTGCGTCAGGTTAAACGTTGACCCGTCGCATCGTCACAAACAAGCCGTTTGCGTGGGGGTTGACCCCGGTAGTAAGAAGGAAGGATTCACTGTCAAAAGCGAAGCGCATACCTATCTGAACGTCCAAGCAGATGCCCATAACAAGGTAGGGAAGAAAGTGAACAAGCGTAGCGAGTTACGACGGGGTCGCCGTTTTCGTAAATGTCCGAACCGTAAAAACAGGCAAAACCGGCTTGCCAACACAGAACGCATCCCCGCAGGCACACGCGCCCGGTGGGGTTGGAAACTTCGTATCCTTGACTGGTTGGCAAAGATGTTTCCATTGACGTATGTATGTGTAGAGGATATTAAGACACGCACCCGTAGGGGATCAAGGAAGTGGAATCAATCGTTCAGTCCGTTGGAGGTAGGTAAAGCGTGGTTCTATCGGGGAGATACGCAAGCGGTGGCAACTGTTCACTGTTCAAGGATACGAGACTAAGCAGAAGCGGGATGCGCTTGGGCTAAAGAAGTCAGGCAACAAGATATCAGAAAGCTTTGATGCCCATTGCGTGGATAGTTGGGTGCTTTGTGACTATATCGTTGGCGGGGATGGCATCGTTGATAATTCGGGAGTTCTTTGTATATCCCCCATCCCCGTCAGACGGCGTGAGCTCCACAGGCAGAATCCACAGAAGGGCGGGAAACGCCCCCGCTATGGGGGTACGATGTGTTTGGGTATTGCAAAGCACACGATTGTCAAGCATGTCAAACACGGAATAGCCTGTGTGTGTGGACACCAGAAGAATCGGTTGGCCTTGCAACCTGTGGACGGTGGGAAACGCCTCACACTGTCTGCGAAAGTAGAAGATTGCAAGGTGCTCACGAGGCTAAACTTTAGATATAGAACCAGATAGGAGGCGCAGTTTCCTCCCCAGCCTAAAGGCATGGGGGCTCCACTGCGAAGATTCGATGACTGAAGAACGACACATCTTTTCCGTACTTGTTGAAAATCGCTTCGGAGTCCTCGCGCGAATTGCGGGGCTGTTCAGTGGGCGTGGATATAACATTGACAGCCTCAATGTCGCTGAAACTGATGATCCGGATGTTTCACACATGACAATTGTTACACATGGGGACGCGCAGATCATTGAGCAGATTTACAAGCACCTGAACAAGCTGATTGATGTAATCAAGGTGATAGATCTTACCGTTGAAAATCATGTCGAGCGAGATCTCGTACTGATTAAAGTCTACGCCGAGCCACAGCGCCGCGGGGAAATTCTCCAAATTGTGGAGATCTTCCGCGCCCATACGGTTGATGTCGGTCCCGATTCCCTAATCATCGAAGTGACTGGCGACGAAGGGAAGTTGAAGGCGGTGGTTGATCTGCTACGTCCCTACGGCATTCAAGAACTTGCCCGCACCGGTAAAATTGCGATCATGCGCGGTGCCCCAAAGTGATGAACCGATATTGCATTTTCACGTTTCACATATAAGGAGTATCCATGGCAACAATTTTATTACGATAGCGATGCAGATTTTGATTTACTCAAAGAACGAACGGTTGCTGTTATCGGCTATGGCAGCCAAGGACGCGCACAAGCGTTGAATCTCAAGGATAGCGGCGCAAACGTTGTCCTCGGGCTGCGACCCGGCAGCCGTTCCCAACCGGCAGCAGAATCGGAAGGATTGACGGTAAAAAGTATTGACGAAGCTGTTGCTGAAGCAGATGTCGTTCAGATTCTCATCCCGGATGAACAGCATGGGGCGGTGTATCGAAATCAGATCGAGCCGAATCTACAGGCAGGCAACATGGTGATGGTTTCGCACGGTTTCAGCATCCATTTCGGTCAGATTGTTCCAGTCAGCGACATTGACGTGGCGATGATTGCACCGAAGGGACCGGGGCTACTCGTGCGACAAGTCTTTGAAGAAGGCGGCGGTGTGCCGTGCCTTATTGCTATCCAGCAGGATGTAACGGGACATGCCAGAGACATCGCACTCGCGTATGCGAAGGGAATCGGCGGTGCGCGGGCTGGTATCATTGAGACCACCTTCCGTGAGGAGACGGAAACCGATCTCTTCGGCGAACAAGCGGTGCTTTGTGGCGGGACTACCGCCCTGATTAAGGCTGCTTTTGATACCCTCGTCGAGGCCGGCTACCAACCAGAGATGGCGTTTTTTGAGTGTTTGCATGAGTTGAAGCTGATTGTAGATCTGATCTACACAGGCGGCCTCAGCAAGATGCGCAATGATGTTAGCAACACAGCGGAATTCGGCGATCTCACCCGCGGTCCTCGTGTCATTGATGAAGGCGTCCGAGAGCGCATGCGGACAATTCTTAAAGAGGTGCAGAATGGGGAATTTGCAAGGGAGTGGGTACTGGAAAATCAGGCGAACCAACCCGTGCTACAAGCCCTCCGTCGTCGAGAGTCGGAGCTGCAGATCGAAAAGGTAGGGAAGGACCTACGGAGCATGATGAGTTGGCTTGAGGAGTAGTAATCACATCTTGAAATAGCATATTCCATGAAAGTCGTCACTTCAGTTGAAATAATACCGTTGGAGTGACGACTTTTTGTTTCGGTCTTGGAAGGGTCATTTTTCTTTATGGACACAATTGAGAAAGCGGTCGAGCAACATGAAAAACGCAATCTCATCGTATTTGCGGCGAACCAGATTTTTATGCGGCTCGGCTGGATTTTCAAGACCGAATCGGTGGTAATGCCGGGGTTTTTGGATGTGTACACCTTATCGGGAGTTGTCCGGGGGTTTCTGCCCCTTATCTCTCGAATTGGGCAAAGTATACCTCAGATTCTTATCGCACACCGCGTGGCAAAAATGCCCAAAAAACGGATTGTGTTTATACTTTCCGCTTTCGGTATTACCTTCCCGTGGCTGATATTGGCGTTGGCCCTTGAGTTCGGACGTTGGTCAAACAACACAATCGTAGCGATTTTCCTGACGCTGTATGGCTTGCACTGGTTGACTTACGGCAGCAATGTCCTAGCAAACGGCACATTACAAGGCAAGCTGATTCGTCCTAAAAGACGAGGGCGGCTATTGGCTTATGCTAGTCTCATCGGCTGCACGCTTGCAATTATCATCGTCTGGCTTGTGATGCCACGCTGGGTTCGCGGCGACAGTGCCAACTATGCTTGGATATTTGGGATGACGGGGATGTTCTTTGGTCTGGCTGCGTGCGCCAGCGTGTTTTTCCGTGAACCTCCTGATGACCATTCACCGCAAACCGTGCCTTTTCTCAAATATCTCAGTTCCGGGCTAATGCTGCTGCGATATGACCGAAATTTTCGTATATTCGCGATAGTCCTAATGTTGTTCTACACAGGTTGGCCCATTTTTCCGCACTATACCGTTTTTGGAAAACGAACGTTAGGATTAGTGTCGAGAAACTTTGTAACGCTGTTGATTGCACAAAATACAGTCAGTGGACTTGGTGCCTTGGTAATGGGGAATATCGCAGATCGGCACGGCAATCGGATTGTTATGCGTGTACTGATCTTTGTTGCCGCTTGTGTGCCTCTGCTAGCGGTTGGTTTGAGTCGCTTGCCGATGGGAGCGCACTGGTACTGGCTTGTGTATGCCTGCTTGGGATTTACGCCGGTATCCGGTCGTATTCTTACGAATTACACCCTTGAGATTTCCCCACAAGAAAAACACCCACAATATTTAGGGATGCTGAGTGTCCTTCAGACAGTACCGTTACTAGGGTCGCCGGTGGTTGGCTTGTTAATTGATCGATTCTCTTTTGAATCTGTATTTATTACGTCCTCGGTTCTGGTCTTCTGCAGCGTCTTGCTGACCTTCCGGCTGATCGAGCCTCGATTTAGCCATTCTGTTTAATTGGAACAGGTAGAATCACCCTGATGCGATTATGCCAATTATGTATCATCAACAACGACAAGAATCTTCCATGAAATCTGAGGTGCAGCCATGAAAAAAGTAAAAATTGCAACGTTCAGCGAACTTGAGGATAGGCAAACCCGTCCACGCGCTTGTCGCCGGGGTTGACCTTGTTGTAATCCCATACGACGGCAACGTTTCGGTGTTATATGGCAGATGTTTGCACCGGGGTGCACTGCTCGCAGACGGTCACATTGAAGGACAGAACCTCATTTGCGGCGTTCATAACTGGGACTACCGGTACGATACAGGTGTAAGTGAATATCACAACGAAGAAGTGCTTGCGAAATTCACCGCTTGGATCGAGAATGACACTATTTGGGTCGATGAAGATGAGATCGCTGCTTGGGCGCAAGAGCGTCCCCAACCATACAAGCGGGATGAATATCAGGGAGCGTATCAAGATATACATGGCGTTGAGGAGGAGCCGTATGTTGCCTACATCCGAGAATTGGCGAGCCATGGGTTAAGCAACGTTGGTCATCACGGTCGTGTCGCTGCGATGGGGGTGCCGAGACAGGAGCTTCCGGGCTGGGATGATTTACAGTTTATCGTCGCACAACTTCGCAAGTTCCCCCAACTCGATGATGTGCCTGTAGACACTGAATTGGTTATTGGAGCGCGGGCGAAAAAACCGCTCAAACTGAAAATTCCGATTATTGTGTCGGACATGAGTTTCGGTGCCCTGTCCGCTGAAGCAAAGATTGCACTGGCGAGAGGGGCTGAAATGGCTGGGACTGGCATCTGCTCCGGCGAAGGGGGCATGTTACCCGAAGAACAGGCGGAGAACCGCTGCTACTTCTATGAACTCGCCTCTGCACGTTTCGGCTTTTCGTGGGATAAGTTGCATCTGGTTCAGGCGTTCCACTTCAAGGGTGGGCAGGGCGCGAAAACAGGTACAGGTGGACATCTTCCCGGCGAAAAGGTACAGGGAAGGATTGCCGAGGTTCGCGGACTCATCGCAGGACAGCCGGCGGTCTCTCCTGCACGTTTCCCGGATTGGGACAGCTTGGATGACTTCAAAAACTTTGCTGAAGAGGTCCGCAAGGAAACCGACGGCATCCCGATTGGCTTTAAGTTATCTGCGCAACATATTGAGGCGGATATCGAAGCCGCAATCCAAATTGGGGTGGATTATATCATTCTTGACGGTCGTGGCGGCGGCACCGGCGCAGCACCGCTCATTTTTCGTGACAACATTTCAGTCCCAACGATGCCAGCAATTGCGCGAGCGAGGAAATATCTTGATGAAACAGGGAATGAGGATATAACGCTGATTGCGACGGGAGGATTGAGATCTCCGGCGGACTTTGCCAAAGTACTCGCGCTTGGTGCAGATGGCGTTGCCATTGCGAACTCAGCACTACAGGCGATTGGCTGCGTGGGTATGCGTGCGTGCCACACGAACAACTGTCCGGTAGGGGTTGCCACGCAAAAGGAGCATCTTCGCGCCCGACTAATTGTTCACCAAGCCGCCCGCCGGCTTGACCGATTCCTTGGCGCAGCAGTTGAATTGATGCAGGTGATGGCACGTGCCTGTGGACATACCCACCTGAACCAATTCTGTATTAATGATCTAACGACTTGGAAGCGGGAGATTGCGTATTTGACAGGGGTTAAGTACGCTGGGGGTTGTGCCTCTATAAAGGTTTTGTAGGGAACGCAGATTTGCGTTCCCTACTATGCGATACTCTCAAATTGTGCCCGGCAAGGTTGGGTTTCCCCTTGTGCTCCTTGGGATATAAAGATTTAGAACGGCTATAGCGTAAAGTAGGAGGTAATTATGCCCGACGAAATGATGAACGCCTTTGAAAAACTCTGGGTTGCCCTTCGCGCTTCGTGGTGTGACAATCACGACCTCGATGGCGCACTAGCGTTCAGTCACGACCGTGCAGTGATGGATTTCTTTCATCGCATTGTACAGATAAACGTGGATGACACCCAAGTAGACAGGTTGATTGACGATGCGATTCGCCTGTTTCAAGAGAAACAATACGATTGCATGTTCACTCTTTCGCCGCTAGATCGCCCCGTTGACCTTGACGAGCGGCTGGAGAGGCGCGGTTTCACAGAAGGTATGTTGGCGTCGGCGATGGTTTTTGACCCGCCCACTGCACCGCCAGCCCCCCAAACTGTCGCAGAAATCAATGTCTCACCCGACGATGAATATGCCCTGTGGGCGGATGTCATGTGCCGTGGGTTCGGTCATGACCAGACGATGGGAGAGGTCGGACGTTCCGTACTAGTCGTGCCCGAAGTGCGCCGCTATCTAGCGCGTGTGGACGGTGCACCGGCGGGCACAACGCTGGTCTACTCGCAGTTCGGCATGGGTTACGTCGATCATGTCGCAACACTGCCAGAACACCGCCGCAAAGGGGTCGCCTCCGCCATGATTGCACGAGCGGTTGCAGATTCACAGGTGATGGGCAACCGCTGGACAACGTTAGAGACGACGACAGGCAGCAACGCGGAGCGGGTATACCAACGACAAGGGTTCCGGATTGCCTATCATCGACGGCGTTACATCATGCCTCATGGGTAAGGGTAAAGTGTAGGATTAGTTGCGAAAGCATTACACCAAGCGGCTTCTTGGTTGGGAACCATTTATGAACGAAAGGTTTATTCTCAGCGTTGTCTTTTTTCGCACGGATACCGGACGGGAACCCGTACGGCAATGGCTTCAAAATCTTGATAAGGCAGATAGAAAGACAATTGGTGAGGATATAAAATTAGTGCAATTTCGTTGGCCTTTAGGTATGCCTCTTGTTAGGAAAATGGAAACAGATCTATGGGAAGTTCGTAGTCATCTCAGACGTGGACGTATTGCTCGGGTCTTGTTCACCGTCGATGGTAGTGAGATGGTGCTTTTACATGGCTTCACCAAGAAGTCTCAAGCAACACCGCAGAGAGATTTAAATTTGGCGCGAAATCGAAGAAATTTATGGCAAAATGGGAGGTCAACATGAATAAGTATAGTGGTAGTAACTTTGATGATTTTCTCGCCGAGGAGGGCATCCTTGAGGAAGTATCAGAAAGTGCACAAAAACGGTTACTCGCTCTGCAAATCGAAGAGGATATCGTAAACGCCACGAACCAAAACCCAGAAGGGTTGAACACCGATCGTGTGGGATTGAATCATTATCTGTTCGATCCGGATAATCCTTCTATTACCGTGGAATTGTTGAATCGCCTCACCCGTACTATGAGTTACGAATCGGTCTAAGTTGCTGTTGCAGCTGATGGCAAGTTTGGGAGGAGAGATTGTCTTCTAATCGCCCCAGCCAAAAGGATAAAACTCTTAACCCACGTATCTGTTTGTTAGGAGGGTTGTGAAAATGAGATTTTTTGTTCCTGAAGCCAAAGATGATACACAAGCTCAGGCGGTGTGGAAGCTACCAAGAAATTTGCTGAAGAGAATCTGAGATGCCAAGTCTCTGAACGACGCATTTTTAGTATCGCCTATCACCACCATGATGCAGATTATTATGTGGAGATTGGAAAGCCAGATCCGCGCACTGGAGAGCTCGTGCTGGTAATCCTTGAGTCAAATCCCTATCTTATATGTACGCCGAATCGTGGTGTGCTGCGAGGCGTACCAATCTTAGTGGGTCAAGACAAAGTAGAAAGAATTTTGGATTTCCAGAACTAGAATATTCTTAGGGAGTACGATCTTGGGATATGTCTATATCTTGCAAAATGATTCAATACCGGGCTTAATAAAAATCGGTCAACTCTGCTGTGCTCGTCCCATAATCGAACAACTTAATTTTTTCAATGAGACGAAACTCCGTTGGTTTCAAGTGCTTTATGGGGACCGGCGTTTCGTTTCGACAAAAAAGGAGTTCACAATATGGCGCTGCAACCTTGGATACGCATCGGTCAACCCCTTGAACCGGTGATGGACGATTATGAACGGATCTTTGATGCTTGGGAAGCTGGTGGCATCAAAGGCTTTGTTTTCGGTCGTACACTTTTTGCGGATGCACAGGGTCAATTTACCACTCCTGCTTTCCCTTCCAACCCGCAAGCCTATCGCAATCGCGGGTTGGAGCCAAATGTCCGCGACACAGAAACCGATTCCTCCAAAGAGAAACTGCTCCATGCGATGCTTGATAACGCCAAATCACGCGGTTGGGAGATTTTCATTTTTGCCCCGGGCAGCGGGGCAACGGGTGCGAAATCACTTCCACTAGAGGAAGATCCCTACGGCGCGGTCGCCATGGCGGCGGTTTGGGATGAGACATTCGGCAGCTTTCCACAGGTTGATGGCGGCATCATGGATGGCTGGACCGAGTCCGCTTATGAGCTGGAATGGCACCACGGCAACGCTGTGTTTGCGGATCTCCCTGAATCAACCAAAGCCCAAGCTGCTGTCAGAGGGTACGATCCAGACAAACTTGAACGCGGCAGGTGCCATCTCCATGAGCGTTTTCGCAGTCTTACCCCCGCCGAAGTCCGTTACTACGGTCCCTACGGCGTGCTGTCGGAGATGAACCTCTTCGATATCAATGAGGATGCGGTTTACTGGCTGCGCTGGCGACGGGAGGATGGAATTAAAACAGGAGAGGCATTTCGGCATGAACTTGACAAATCCCCGCGTAAGCTGTTATTGGGAAATGGTCCCCGTTCGGCTGTATTCTCTGGAATGACTGCGCTCGATTTCCACGCTTGGGATCAGATCGTGGATGTACTGCTCGTCAAGCACTACTTCTGGCATCGGGGCTTCGACGGCATGTACGGCACCGTCGTCCGTTGGGTACAACAGATTCAAGAATGGAATCCTCGCTTGACCGAACAGGATTGCTTTACAGTGGTAAAAGCGTGGCTAGGCGTAGATTTGCCGGAGGTAAACTCTCTATCGGATATGGATTTGGGATTTCCCCAAGCCTTCTTCGACCAAGTTGTGACAACTGAAACCGAGCGAGCCTTGGCGGCGGTCAGTCAGCCGGAGAAGATTGTTCCTTGGGTGGATACGGGGCGGATGCCGCCACGGCGGAGATCCAATGACCGCTGGAGACCTGCATCGCATCCTCACAGCATCGGAAGAAGCAGGTCTGAAGCGCTTCCTTTTTCATAATCACGCACATCTCACATCGGCGGAGTGGTGCGTAATCTCTCGGCTATGCGGACACCCTTGGGATGAAGATCTCAACGGGTATTGGCCCCCCGCAACACCGAAACCATCGAGTTACTAATGGATTGGAGAGGAGGTTTACTATGGCTAGTCTAACACTTCCTGTGCGTTGGTACAGCAATGAAACTCAGCACGGCGACTTAGAACTTGAATTGAATCGAACCGCTTTCATGATTGTGGATAGCGATTGTGGCACCGGAAATCGGTATGTAGAAGACGGGATTGCTCCGGCATTGGCTGCGGCACGCACAGCAGGCATGAGGGTCGTTTTTATTCATAACGATTTCTCCCTCGTTGATGAACCGGGCAGCATCAAACGGGAGATCCACGGCACACGCTGGGGCGATCCCCTTGCTGAAACAAGGCAATCACCTGCCTCAAGGACACCCTATAAACCGAATTATTCCCCGTCGATTCAGCCGTTGCCGCATGAGCCAGACTTTCCCAAGCGAGAGTGGTCGGGATTCCATGAAACGCATGTCGATTACCATTTGCGATGTTACGACATCAAGAATCTGGTCGCAGTTGGGTTCAGCCAGCGTGCCTGTTTATACCAAACCCTCGCCGGCGCAGTCGAGCACAATTATCGGGTCATCATGCTGCGCGATGGCACGCATTCCGCTGAGTATCCCGATACAGTCGATCCAAACTTACCAGAGGGAGGCTGGCTGCGGAAGGTTATGTTGCGTAACTTTGAACATATTATCGGATATACCTCGACCTCATCAGAATTTGCCGCAGCGTGTGAGTGCTTGCATCCCGATCCATCGGGGTCGCTTTGAGTTTCAATGCAATTGGAGCGTCGAAAATCTGACTCACGCATGCGCCATCAACCGCCCAACATGAGCAACGACCGATTCGGATAGACCTTTAAGGTCATATCCCCCCTCCAATGCTGAGATTAACCGTCCCTCACAAGTTTCTGCCGCAATTTCGCAAAGGATATCGGTCAGACTGGCAAAACCGTCTGCGGTCATATTGATCGCCGCCAGAGGGTCTAAACAGTGTGCGTCAAATCCAGCCGAGATTATCAGGAAATCGGGAGAGAAATCGAGTAGTGCCGGCTTAAGGGTGTTTTGGAAGGCTTCGATGTAGTCACTGGGTTCACTACCCGGACGCATCGGTATGTTCAAAGTTGTGCCAACGGCGTCACCCGTACCGGTCTCATTCGCCATGCCGGTGCCGGGGTAGAGAGGCACTTGATGAGCGGAGAAAAAGAAAACGGAAGGGTCATCATAAAAGATATCCTGCGTTCCATTGCCGTGATGGACGTCCCAATCAATAATTGCGACACGCCCCACCCCATGTTCACGCTGTAGGTATCGTGCAGCGATTGCAACATTGTTGAACAGACAGAAGCCCATTGAACGGTTCGGAGTTGCGTGATGTCCGGGCGGGCGGACAAGCGCGAAGGCATTACTCACACTGCTCGCCATGACAGCATCTGCTATCCTCAACACACCTCCGGTGGAAAGGCGCGCAATATCATAAGATGCGGGTGAGGTCGGTGTGTCATAATCGAGGGGGATGCTATCTTCGCAGTGCCACTTGATCCGATCAATATGCTCTTGGACGTGTGCATAACAGATCTGCTCAATCGATACAGGAGTGGCTTCGATTTGATGCAAATCCTCCCCAAAGATCAGAGGCTTGCAGTGCCTTGATGCTCGCCTGTAGACGTTCCGGACGTTCGGGATTCTGCATTCCGGTATCGTGATTGAGATAATCGGTGTGATATACAAAACCTGTCTTTTTCTGAGAAGTCATAGCTCTTTCCAAGTTGGGCATGGGTATTCACTTCAATATTTTAGATTGTAGTTTATTTCAAAACATTCCGCAAGTGTTTTCTGATCTTGACACCCTCTTCCACTTCTGCTATGCTATTCCAATTGCTTTCAAAAATCTATTTACGTATCCCATCAGAGTAGGGTAGAGATGAAAATTCAGAAAATCTTTCTAGGTGCAATTTGGCTTTTCATCAGCCTAATGCCCCAATTATCGGTTTTACTCAAGTACACACATCAGGAAATGTCGAATTCCACATAGTCGGCGAGGGCTCGCTTGCCGGAATTGGGGCAGATGGACTTACTAACAACTTTAGATTTACTAAATCTGGAGAGTCCTACTATCTCCACGAACTATCAGAGATTTGGGTCGGTGATGCAAATGGAAATGTGGCGAGTGCATGGGATTTAGATCTCGCTGAACCTGGTCCCCTCGAAATTGGGGAGTGGAAAGCCGTACCAACGAATATCGCAAAAATAGATCCGGATGAACGACAGGAAATTATAGCACGATACGATTCATCTGGAATCGCTGGTTTCCCACTCAATATCTCAGTTGACCAGCAAAGTTTTTCTTGGAGCACCAATAATCATCCCGATGCAGACGATTTCGTTGTGATAAGGCTGACTGTCAAAAACAATGGCAATGAAAGACTTGAGGGTATCTATGTCGCAACGATGGCAAATTGGGATGTCGATGGGACAGATTTAGCAGCTGGGGAGTTAAGCCGGGATTGGGTGGATTGGGATGAAGCACATCAAACGCTATTTACCTATGATGGGGATGATACCGATGGGCTTAATCAGGTGCATACGGGTCTCACCTTGCTGGACGGAAAGTTAAATGCCCATCAGATTATCCCGTTTTTCGATCTTGAGAAGCGACAAATCCTGGACCTGTTTTTAGATGAAAGTCGATCCCTTTTCATGGCTAATCCCAATATTTTTACTGCCAGAAAGGACCATTTAGAGGCACTTAACCTTCCACCTTGGGATTATGTATCCATTATTTCAGCGGGGCCTTATGACATTCCAGGCAAGCAGTTTATCGTTGTTACTTTTGCTCTTGTCGCTGGCGAAAACTTGGCAGATCTACAAAAAAATATCAATGCAGCAAGAACCGTTACCTTTACGCCGCAACAGTTGACCGCCGAAGTTGTAAGAGGAACCGTCCGGTTGAAATGGGAGGCAGCAATCAATCCAAGCGTAACTAGCTATGGTGTCTTGAGACGGGCGAGGAATGAGAGTGGATTCCGGCAGGTTGGGCGGATTATCAAAGGAACCACCTTTGACGACGCAGAGATTCAGGGCGGCGTAGAATACACCTACAAGATTCTTCCTGTTCATTCCAGTGGGCAACCGCTTGAATTTGATTCCTCAGAAGTCAGTATCATCCCGGATCATTTTCAGGATGCGCCGGTGGGTTTAGCAGCGACACGCGACAGAGACCAAATTATCCTTAATTGGACAAAATCTACACGCGATATCAATCGATATCTTATCTATCGTAACCACACCGGACGCGATCCGTGGACGCAAATCGCATCAGTTCCACAGGAAACTTCTACTTTTGTTGATCGCAATGTCTATCCGGGTTTGCGGTATTTCTACGCAATCACCGCGACGAATCCAGCTGGTGGAGAAAGTCAACTCTCCCAAATTGTGGATGTCACTATCCCTGAGGAAACCATCGCCTCCCCCGAATTGAACCTAGACAAGGTGATCTTTGTCCCGAATCCATATCGTCTGAACGAGAGCGTGCGTCCAATGGAGTTCCGCAATCTGCCTCACCGTGCAACAATCCGAATCTACAACAGTACCGGCGATCTCATTAAACAGATTGACCATCGCAACAATACCTCAATTCAACGTTGGGATGGACGGAACGAGGTTGGGGAACAGATCGCCCCCGGTATCTACGTTTATCACATTGAAGCCTTGAGGGAGGGTCAAAGGGGAAAAAATTCGGTAAGTGGAAAGTTCGCGGTGATCCGGTAAAATAGAAGACGTTATACAAAAAAAGCGACGCTACATGATATGTGCGTCGCTTTTGATGATAAATGCCGGGAAGGGGATTTGAACCCCTACGGGCGAAAGAGCCCACTAGATCCTGAATCTAGCTTGTCTACCAATTCCAACATCCCGGCGTAATCCTTTTGCCGCCTGTTTAACAACTGCTACAGTCTACATTAAATGCAGTTGGCTTGTCAAGGAATTTCTATTGCACAATTGGCTCATGTTAAGAAATCGTGCAACAGAAACCGAGTGTTTGTAAAGAACTCGGCTTCTCTTTGCTTTACACTTTCTTTTTACATGAACCCAATTTCTTTATGTTCGGCTTGTATCTGCTCCATTTCAAGGGTAAGTTCAGTCGATCACGTTCCACTTTTAGTGAGCGTTTGCTGATTGCATTCGCAATAGCTTGTACAACATCCACTTATTGCGGAGGTTTAAGATAAAATCAGAAGCACCTGCCCGCATAGCTTGTTTAATCGTATAAATCGAGGCATACCCAGTGATGATGATAACTTCTATTGAAGAATCTGTCTGCTTTGCAAATTCGGAAAGTTTTAAGCCTCCGAAAAGTTCCTCCTGCTCTCCAAGGTCTGGCAAACGAAGGTCTGTTAAAAGGACATCGTAGGCTTCGTTCCGGATCTGCCGCATTGCATCAGCACCCGTGAGTGCTGCTGTGATTTCATGCCCTTGTTCGTCTATAAGCCAGATAAAACTGCAGCCACCGGTGTTTTATCATTGACAACGAGTATCTTTCCTGTAATTGGTCCCTTTTCCCTTGGGGCCATTGTATCTTCCTTGTTCAATTGCTTCACTCATCTCGTTCCAACCGGAATTAGGTCATTATAGCGAACAGTACGATTTAGCTCAAGTTTTTCTGAAATGCTATATAAAGTTTCCAAAGCATGAAAAGAAAAAAAGGACGGAAGATAACAATCTCCCATCCTTCTGGGTTGCAATTATCAAGGTATAGCGCGTTTATGTACGGCCCGTTCCGATCTTACTTCTTGGCTTTGATTTTCCGCCCACTTGGTCGCGAGCTTGCCCTCGGGCTCGACAGCAAAAACCGGCTGGAAACTTTCGAGCGTATCCCCTTTTTCACCGAGCTCCATGGCGGCTTTAATGTCCGCTGGGGCGAGTGCCTTATCTATAACCACAACCTCATCCATAAGTCCGTCAACGTACCCAAGCTGATCTCGGCGTGCTTCCGCTTTTGCGGCGCGCAGATCAAAACCAATTGTTAACGGGTGTTCTGAAATCTGGAACTCTCCCCGCTGGTCAGCTTCCGCAGTCTGCTTGCCGTTGCGGTAGACTCGAATCTTCGTTCCGTCAGCAACACCGGCAACGTGAAACCACGTTTTACCCGCGTCGGCCGCGTCCAGAAAATCTGGATCCGCTGCGGCGGCTCGCCCTTGTGTCATTGTGGCATCAAACGTGAAACTGCCAAACTTCGTATGCGGGCGAACAATCCGCAGGGCATACGCGGTTAAAAATCGCTTGTCTCCAGGCGGTCCATTCTTCCAAATCAATGACATATCCCGCCCGGTACCGGTCAAATCGCCAGGATTAGCAAATTGAACCCAACACATCAGGGTCACCTGATCTTTTACGTTGAGACTGTCGGCATGAGGGACTTCGAGGTAGGAGTCTGCTGCCTCCACCAATTTCAGCGCGCCTCCGACTTTTCCCCTGCCTATCCATTCTGCCCCGCCTTTCAGTTCGCCATGATTTTTATTTGGAGAGAGATCCCTTCCAACATCGTTTTTGTTATCGAAGGACCAATAACCGAGGAGCCTGGCATGGGAATTCATCAGAGGTAAACAGAGAAGACATGCTGACAAAATTCCCAGAATAGTGAGCAGTTTCCGAGACATTGGATTATACCTCCTAATTTATATAAGGTTGTTTTTTAGAACAGGGATGCAACCCAACCAGATGCCACTCAGCGCCCTGCTTTGAGTTCCGCCCATTTAACGGATAATTTGCCACTCGGTTCAATAGCAAAGGGCGCAAAGGTCTCCAGCGTCTTCCCTCGCTCCCCCAATTCCATAGCTTCTTTGACCTCATCTTGGGTCAGTGCATGGCTGAGAATCGCAACTTCATCCATAATTCCACGAACAAATCCCAAAGTTTCTCGCCGTGCCTGCTGATCTGGATCGCGTAGGTCCCAACCAATCGTTAGGGCTTCCTCTGTTGGTCGAAACTCCCCTTTTTGCACACCAACAGCCTTTTCTCTACCGTTGGTATAAATTTTGACTTCGGCACCATTGGCGACTGCTGCTACATGATACCATTCATCTATTACGGGATGATCTGGATCGGCCGGTATCGTTGCCGTTCGTCCTTCTGTCGTATTTGCGTCAAAGCCAAAGCTCCCAACGTTCAGTTTTACTCGAAACACACGTAGGGCATAACTTGCAAAAAACCGCCTATCGTCCCTCGGTGCATTCTTCCAAATCAAGGATTGATCAAGACCATCTGCTGCATTGCCAACGTTACTGAATTTGACCCAGCACATCAGGGTTGCTTGGTCCTTCAGGTTCAAACTATCATTGTGGGAAACTTCAAGCCAAGATTCCTGTCCATCCGCCAATAGCAAACCACCGCCAACTTTTCCCTGCCGCGTCCACTGAACAATCCCGACTGCCCCTGATGGTTCGCCATGATTACGAAGGGGAGAGAGATCTTTCCCGAGCTCATCTTCCTTCTCAAAAGCCCAATAACCAATGAGTCTGGCATCAACCACAATCAGGAAGGGAGCAAAGAGGTAGACCAACAAAATCGCAAAAAGGGACACAATACGAGGCATGTGAAAACTCCTTCTTTATTGCAGAACGACAAAGAGCACGGTAGATAACACTCTACCTTCCAACTTTGATTTCTCCCCACTTTGTGGCTAACTTGTCGGCGGGCTCAACCGCCCAGATCACCTCGAATCTGTCAAGTGCCTTTCTGTTGTTACCCAAATCCATAGCTTCTTTGACCTGGCCCGGGGTCAACGCCTTATCGAGAACAATGACTTCATCTATGGTGCCGATTACGTATGGCTTTGAGCCATCGAGTTTAGGATTCACACGCAGATCAAAACCGATGGTCAAAGGTTGCTCCGTAGGCTTAAAATCCCCTTTTTGGTCGGCGATTGCCTCTTCTTTGGCATTGACGTAGACTCTTGCTTTCGTGCCATCAGCGACACCTGCAACATGATACCATTTACCCGGTTCAGGCTGATTCTTAAACCCGGGTGCCGTAAGTGTCCGCCCCTCCGCTGTATTTGCCTCAAATGCGAAACTGCCCTGTTCCTTTCTCTCCCGATACTTAAACAATGAATAAGATGTCCAAAATCTTCTGTTTTTCTTATCACCCTCGAGCATAATAGGCCCATTCTTGTAAATCAATGATCCCTCTTGAGCTTCAGCCACACCAGCAGCATCAAAATTGACCCAACACATCAGGGTCACTTGATTCTTCACGTTGAGACTGTCGGCATGAGGGACTTCAACCCAAGAAGCTCCATCCAGTTGCAAGCCGCCACCCACTTTGCCCTTTGCCGTAAAGACCGCACCTTGTTTGGTTTCGCCGTGATTGTCAAATCCTGACGAATCCATCCCTATCTCATTCTTCACATTAAAATTCCAATAACCTAGGACCTTGGCTTCAACACACATTGGAGACAGATAGATGCACAAAATCCCAAGAATAAAAAATAGGCGATACATGATAATCCTCCTTGGTGTTTAGATATCCTCCATATTCTTTCTGAGTCGAAGATTGTGAAAAGAGGATCAAGTCGCTCTTGATCCCCTCTAAATTGTAGGGTCGGTGCACCGAGATGTGGTACATTCCCCCTATTGAAACAGATGAGTATATAAATATTGAGGAAACTAACAGTTCCCAATATGTTAGTACCTGCTAGCCTTAATCCTACCCCAGGTGGTAGACAACTTATCCGCCGGTTCCACGGAAAGGATGGCATCTGACGCCCAGTTGAGGATGTTCCTCCACAGAATGTGAGAATCCTCTGACATTTCTGGCACGCCAAAGCCCATGGCCAAATTGACAATTTCCGCGCTACCGCTGAAGACGTAGCCGCCCTTGCCAATTCTTCCATAAACAATGAGTGCAAAAGCTGGATCGTCCAGAAGGTCGCCTGCCACATTGGCGTGGTCTGGCAATTTAGCTATCTCATAACCGGGTAAATTTCCGTCGCCGACAAAGGTGGGATCGGTAGATTTCGATGTATCAAGAATATCCGCCATGTCTTTGGTCAATGGCGTATCTGGGAGAATTCCAATGCAACACTTGTCTGCCACAGGAAACCCGCCGAGCGATTCTGCTAGACCGGGAGCCACTATTTTTACCAATGGGATATCTGCTGCATCCCGGCCGCCGGTATAGACGACAAACCCACCCTCTTCGACAAATGTCTTGATCGCGTCGGCATTGTCGTCGATCCATGTCTGTAAATCGGGGTTATCCTGAAGACCGTGGTACTCAAAGCTAATCAGATTCCAATTGCCGCTTTTGAACTCTCGATCAAAAGAGTTCAGATCGGCTGCCTCTTTGAAGTCAACACCTAGAGCGAAACCCAGCAATGTGTAGTACGATTGGAAGTAGTTGCCCTTCGTTTTCGTTTGCACCTGTTGCCCATCTACGTTTATTACTCCACCAAACGCCTCGGCCACGTTGAAAATTAACACATGCGGCTCGCGCTCCGCCTGAACGTTTGAGGACAAGCTCCACATAATGCCAACAGCAAGGAGCATTAAAAAGGTTAGAGATACTTTCATCCGTAACATTGTCTTATCCTCCATATAAAGTGTCTATCCGGAAAATCCTAGGGAGTTAGCCCAGATGTTGAGCCGGGCTTCCCATTTGACTTTTTGGATAGGTTCGTTAATCATTCTCAGTTTCCTGAGTTGGATAGTATTGTCAATTACAATACCCTTCCGCTAATATAGAATATCAAAAAAAACAGCTTCTTGTCAAGAGAAAAATACAAATTTGAAAAATATTAAGAAAGTGTAAAATTACGCCTTGGGTTAACAATGCAATCAAGCAAATAGGGTATCGGTAGACTTGAAATCTTCGCAAATTACCTCACGGAATCCAAATGGCGGTCTATTTAAGGCAACATCAACAGCCGAACCGACCTCTTTCTAAATCGGAAGACAATCCTTGACAAGAAACAAGAGATAGGCTAAAATTGCACTTGGAAAGCGAATCAACAATTGGAGGAGAGAAGTGGCAGGAATAACGCGGCGCGATTTTCTCAAAACATCGGCGTTGGCAGGTGCCGGCTTGATGACAGGCTGCCTGCGGAAAACGCCCGAGGGGGTAATTTTCAAAGGTTGGCCCTATGAGCCGGACCTGGTGCGCGAGAATATCGAGTATTTCGAGCGTCAATCTAATATCGAAGTCGCCTACGGGGCAATATCGGGCAACTACACGATAAGATGGTTGCGTTATTCGTTGGGAAAACGCCGTTTGATTGCTGCTATGTTCGCGACGATGACTTAGCGGAATGGGTCGAGGCGGGATGGCTAAGGCCCTGCGATGACCTGCCCGGTGTCGATCAGTATCTGGACGATATCTTCGATTACAACTCCGACGCTATGACCTACGGAGGTAGGCGCTACGGTCTCCCCTACTATACCGACTTTACCGTTTGGCTCTATAACGAGCAGATGCTTGAGGCAGCGGGATTTGACGCGCCAGCGCAGACGTTGGACGAATTGACCGAACAAGCGATCAAAGTCAAAGAGGCACGGGTGAAATCCCCCGACGGGGATGTTATCGAACATCCGATTGTGCTCGGCTTTCGTCAGAACGTCACCGGCTTCGGTGACTGGTGGTCACTGAATTACGCGAGCGAAGTCGATCTGTTTGACGACGACTTCAACCCAATTTTTCCTGACGACGAAGGACAACGTGCAGAGAAGATTCTTCAATGGCTTGTCGACGGCATCCACAAGCACCGTATTATCAACATCAATTCATTGACGATGCCAGATATTCGGGAGAATATTGCAGCGGGGAGACAGGCGTTTTGTCTGATGAGTAAATATGATGTAGAATGGATAAACAACCGCGAAAACTCCGCTGTCTCTGAAACGTATCTGAGCCAACGCGGCATCCCCGAAACGGAAGCCCTCCATGCAAAAGTCATTAAGATGGCACGCCTCCCTTCTCTTGAACCCGGACAGCACGGCACCTTGGGGTGGACGCGGATGTATAGTCTGACAGCTCACTGTCGAGAGGAGCGCCTATTGGAGGCATGGGAGTTGATGCAATTTCTCGGGGGTAAGGACGCGACCGGTGACTATTATACGGCGCGACGCTGGTTTCAACTCCGGGGCCTAGGATTCGCGTTCATTTCCCTGATGGATGATCCCGAAATCATTGCGCTAACGGAGAAGTGGGGCGACATCAAATTGGTTAAGGAACTATCGAAAGTCGCCCGCATCCGGGAAAACATCAAAGCACCGTGGTTTCCTGACTTCAACGTTTACTATCAGCCGGAGATCCAGAAGATCCTGCTGCGTCAACAGTCTCCCCGCGATGGACTGGGACGCATGGCAAAACGGTGTCAGGAATTTAAGCAGGAGTGGGCCTAGTACGCTGGCAACTTTATCGTGGCGAATCTCGTCGTTTACCAATCTTGCGTGCAATGCCCCATCCCTTTAGGGTGTGGGAGTATGTCAAGGAACCAATCAATTCAGACGACGCCGTCAATTTGTGTGTAACAAAGAACGAGTAGGAAAGGGAGAAGTGAAAGAAATAACGCGGCGCGATTTTCTCAAAACGTCAGCTCTGGCAAGTCTCGGTGTGATGGCAGGCTGCCTCCAAAAAACGCCCGAAGGGGTAATTTTCAAAGGCTGGCCCTATGAGCCTGACCTCGTGCGTGAAAATGTCGAATACTTCAAGCGGCAAACCAACATCAACGTTGCCTACGAGGCGGTATCGGGCAACTATCACGATAAGATGGTTGCGCTGTTTGTCGGCAAAGCACCGATGGATTGCTGCTATGTCCGTGACGATGATTTTGTAGAGTGGGTTGAGGCCGGTTGGCTGCGTCCTTACGAAGGTTTGCCCGGTGCAGATGAGTACGGGGATGACCTCTTTGACTATAGTCTGGATGCGATGACTTACGAAGGAAAACGCTATGGTCTGCCCTATTACACTGACTTTACCATCTGGGTTTACAACGAACAAATGCTTGAGGCGGCAGGTTTCGAGCAACCGGCGCGGACGTTGGACGAGTTGACCGAACAGGCAATCAAGATCAAAGAGGCGCGAGTGAAATCTCCCGAGGGGGATGTTGTCGAATATCCAATAATGCTTGGCTTTCGGCAGGTGATCACCGGGTTCACCGACTGGTGGGCATTGAATTACGCTTCCGAGGTTGACCTGTTTGACGATGATATCAATCCGATTTTCCCGGACGATGTGGACCGGCGTGCAGAGCAGATTCTCCAGTGGATTACTGACGGTATTCACAAGCACGCTATCATCGACATCAATTCACTGACATCGCCGCTCATTCTCGACAATGTCTCGGCAGGACGACAGGCTTTTGCGATGATTAACAAGCACGATTTAGAACGGGTAAATAGCCGCGAAGACAGTGCTGTTGCCGAATCATATCTACGAGCGCGGGGCATCACCGAAACGCAGGCCAGCTATGCCAAAGTCATCAAGATGGCACCGGTCCCAAGTATCGAACCCGATCAGCAAGGCACGTTGGGGTGGTCGCGGATGTATTCCTTAACCGCCCATTGCCGAGAGGAGTATCTGTTAGACGCATGGCGGCTGGTACAATTCCTCGGTGGTAGGGACGCAAGCGGCGACTATTATACGGCACGGCGCTGGTTTCGACTCCGAGGCTTGGGCATCGCATTCAGGTCCTTACTGGATGACCCTGAAATCATTGAGCAAACGGAGCAGTGGGGAGACGCCAACCTCATCAAGGAATTGTCAAAGGTCGCCCGTGCCCGCGAGAACATCAGGGCCCCATGGTTTCCCGACTTCAACCAGTACTATCAGCCGGAGATCCAGAAAGTTCTTATCCGTCAGCTATCCCCACGTGATGGGCTGGCGCGGATTGCCAAACGGTGTCGGGAACTGAAGAAGGAATGGACATAGAAAGATTGATGAGGACGTTCAAGTATGAGTGACAATACCCTAGAAAACCAGACCGTTGCACAACGCAAAACCGTTTCGCGCTTGACGCCGAAAGAACGTGGCGACCGCATTTTCGCTTACCTGCTCAACGTTCCAAGTGTAATTCTCATCCTTGCGCTGATTGCCTACCCGGTTGTCGTGTCATTGTGGACCAGTTTGCATCGCTACAATCTGCGGCGTCCGGAAGAATTCGCCTTCATTGGTCTGGGCAATTATATTGATGTATTGACCAGTTATGATTTTTGGCACTCGCTCCATGTTACGCTTTATTTTGGAGGGATGTCGGTGGTGTTGGTTATCGTTGTCGCGATAGGCATTGCTGTGCTGTTCAACGAGCAATTCAAAGGGCGGGGGATCGCGCGCGCTGTTGTTGATTCCGTGGGCGGTGCCGGGTATTGTCAACGGCTTGATGTGGGCGGGGCTATTCGGTGAGCACGGCGCATTCAACCAGATGATAGGTGATTTCGTCGGCCTGTTCAATAACCTGACAGGTGCTGAGATTGAGTATCTAGGAATGGCGTCACCGATTGTCGCGCTCAACGCCGCTATCGCCGCTCACGTCTGGCGGAGTGTGCCGTTCGCATGTATTATCTTTTTAGCCGCGTTGCAGGCAATTCCTAGCGAGCAATATCGTGCGGCGCAAGTGGATGGCGCGAGTGCATGGCGCCGCTTTCAATACATCACGCTCCCATGGCTACTGCACCCGATTATGATTGTCGCTATCATTGAGACGATGAACGCTTTCCGCGGCGGCTTCGACATCATCTACGCACTGACCGCAGGTGGCCCTGGCGACGCTACCTACGTCATCGCGTGGCAGACTTACAAGGAAGCCTTCGGACGCCTCGACTTCGGCAGGTCAAATGCCTACTCTTATCTGATTACGCTCATCACGATGGGATTGGCGGTTGTTTATATTCGAGTGTTGTATCGCCGGGGGACTGTACAGGGATAAATGGCAAGACCTTTTTTGGAGAGGAAATGGGGAGACCCGTCCCGTGTTTTTGAGCCATTACGTTCTATGCACGAGAAAGGAAAATTGTGAATAGAGAAGTTGCCAAACGGATTATTTTATACGCCCTCGTGGTTCTTGCAGCACTGTACATTGTAACGCCGTATATGTGGGTGGTGATGATCAGTTTCATGCAGGAGCGCGAGGCGACACAGTTGCATTGGATTCCACGCGAGCCGACGTTGGAAAACTACACGATGTACTTCCGTGTGTACGGCGACAGTGCCGAAATTGGTGCAGCGACCGCGCGGCAGTTTCCCCGTGCAATTGCAAACAGTCTCATCATCGCGGGTTCGGTGATGTTTATCAATCTGTTCTTTGGATCGCTCGCGGCGTACGCACTCGCACGGATGAATTTTGGTGGCAACCTTGTGCTGTTGTTATTTTATCTCGGTTCGCGCAGCGTACCGGGTGTAGCGATTATGATACCGATGTACCTCGTCATGCGTAGTTATGGCTTACTAGATACCCACCTTGCGGTCATCCTTGCTCATGTGACCTTTACGTTACCGTTCACTATCTGGATTCTCAAGGGCTATTTTCAGACGGTGCCGCTCGATTTGGAGCGTGCGGCGAGGGTCGATGGCTGCTCCCGTCTCGGTGCACTGTTCCGCATATTCCTGCCGGTGACAACGCCCGGTATGATTGCGGTGGGCATTTTTTCTTTTATCTCGTCGTGGGGAGAATTTTTCTTTGCCCTGCTGTTCACCTCTACCATATTTTCAAAGCCTGTAACTGTGGTGGCATCGGACTTCGCACAGGAGATACAGATCGATTTCACAATCATCGCCGCCGGTGGGGTTTTGGTCGTGCTGCTCCCGATTATCCTCGCATTCATCTTCCAACGATTCATCATTCACGGCATCGGCGGTGCGGTGACGGGATAGCCTTGCAAAAGGAAAAGAGGATGACAGTTGATGCTAGTAATAAATCCCATCTGAAGTAAAACCTACGGAAGAAAGGATAGGTGATTTTCCGTGAAGCGAGGAACGGTTTTGTTAATGTTAACATTACTGGTATCATCGGCATCCGCAGGGGGGTACTTCGTTATGATTTCAACAATTTGGATTTGGAAGGTTGGGTTATTAGCGAAAATCACCAGACAGCATCAATTGAAAATGGTGAATTGATTGCAGGTGTCCCGCCTCCCGAACTAGATAGCACTACTCTCGTTTTGTTACCCTTTAAAGGAATGCCCGCTAGCGATTATGATGTGGCGGTATCTGTGAAACTCGATCTTTTCGTGTTTCAACCGATTGTTGCTAATGGAGCAGGAATTGGACTCCGTGGGCATTCAACTGAAAAGTTCTTCGGGCTTGTAGACAACGATAAGTTGCAAGATCCACGATCTCTGAGTGACTTAGGTTATTATTTTTTTATCGGACAAAACACCGAGGGACAATGGGGTGTTGGGGCATCAATTTGGCATATAGAACGAGTGGTGATAGATGCAGAAGGTCTTATTAGGGTAGTAGACATAGGGAATAAGACATTAAGGTTTTCACCGTTTGATGTCAAATTGGGTGAGTGGTATCGCTTAAAAGTCATTGCACAGGGAGATTTGTTCCGAATTTTTGTCAACGAAGAACAGGTACTGGGGTTGAAGGACGTTCGCTATCCTGACGGAGCAATCTATCTGTCGTCGGGATTTGGCAACCTTATTCGCTTCGACGATTTTGAGATAGAGTACGATGCCCCTGCTGCTGTACAACCGCGGCGAAAACTGGCAACAATGTGGAGTGAAATAAAAAGCAGAGCCCAATAGGTTGAGATCTGAAAAATTGAAGTAAATTCGGACAAACTGTAGATGTATAGCTCAACTCAGGGGACAGGAGGGATTTTTTGGCAAAAGTTGTTATTGAGCATCTTACGAAACACTTTGGAGACGTTGTTGCGGTAGACGACCTGAGCCTCGAAATTGTCGATCGCGAATTTTTGACGTTGTTGGGCCCGTCGGGTTGTGGCAGACCACGACGTTAAACATTATCGCGGGGTTGGAAGACCCGACAAGCGGACAAGTGTTTTTCGACGACGACGACGTGACTAATGTTCCACCGGAACGACGTGATATAGCAATGGTTTTCCAAACCTACGCCCTATACCCACACATGCGGGTTTATGATAACATCGCATTTGGCTTGCGGATGCGCCACACACCGACTGATGAGATTGAACGGCTTGTGCAAGAGGCGGCGAAGGCGATGGAAATCGATCATCTGCTCAAAAGGAAGCCACGTGAACTCAGTGGCGGGCAGCGACAACGCGTGGCATTAGCGCGCGCCATCGTCCGGAATGCCCATGTGTTCCTGCTTGACGAACCGCTCTCAAATCTCGACGCCAAATTGCGTGTGACAATGCGCACCGAGCTCAAACGGCTGCACGCTGAATTGGAAAAAACCTTTGTCTACGTCACGCACGACCAAGCGGAATCGCTCATCATGTCGGATCGGATTGTGGTACTCAATGAGGGCAAACTCCAACAACTGGGGACGCCTGAAGAGATCTACAATCAGCCTGCCAACGAGTTCATCGCTGGCTTTGTTGGAAGTCCACCGATGAATTTCTTCGACGGTCAGTTGCAAAATGGTGGAGATCAGTGGCTGATAAAGGGAGAGGGATATACCTGTGAATTTACACCGGCACCGACACAACGCCTGACTGAAAACGCTTCGGCAAATGTACAGATCGGGGTACGTCCGGAAGATATTGAGGTGCTGCCGAGCGAATCACCCCACCGCCCAAGCCACTGTTGTGGTACGAGAACCGTTGGGCAGTGATCTGTTTCTTACATTGGAATTGGAGGGCGTGACTTTCAAGGCGCGAACTCACCCGGACGCACGTATGGACCGCGGCGACTGCGTGCCAATTCGTTTTAGACCAACCAAGGTACATCTGTTTGACAAAACTACGGGGGTAACTTTACTTGAGTCCAAGCAGTAAAATAACCGGGATCTGTCTACGGAACTTCAAACGGGATTGTCGCCAAAAACGTCGCTTCCGTTCGCCGATTATGCGTCTGTGCTGCGACGACAGAGCCGTAGATGTTACCGAGATAGAAGATACCCCCAATCGTCCCAAACGTCCAACCTTTGCGCGATGAAACACCATTCTCAGAAAATCCGTCGTAAGCCGCCCACCCCAACACCCCCAAAAGGAACACGGTGAGCAGCGCATCGTTCGGACGTCCAACATAGACCCTGCCGCTGCCCGGCAAGGCAGTAGACAGGAATCCCGCCAACAGTGGACTTTTAGACGGAAGGGTTCTCCCTTTTTCAGCGTATCCTTTGTAGGTTGACGCACGGGGACCAACAGCCTCCGGCAACCCACTCAAGTCAAATTGGTTGAAGTGTTGAATGGCACTTTCCCAATGCTTTTGCATCAGTTTATTCATGCCAATAAGCATCTGCGATTTCCAACGATACTCCCCTCCCTGAAACAGATCCTGCGATTCCTTGAGAAAGCGGCCAGATTTGTCGTACTGCCCTGTCAAAAAGTAGGTCGCGCCTAGCTCATATCGCGCCAAATTGGAGTTGGGTTGTGTTTGGAGGAGCGTTTCGAGGAATTGAACGGCGCGGTCGGGTTGACCGCCTAGACGATAGCTCTCGGCGATTCGGCGTAAAGCGTCGTTTTGGTTGTCTTCCAAAGTAGTCGGTTGAGAAAAGAGGAAACGCTGATACTCACCCGCTGCGCGGAGATAGTCGCCTTGAGCGTAGAGATAATCTCGCAAACTGGCGGATGTCTGGGCTGATAATAATTGATTGGTGGGTTGTCTGCAGTTGCCATTAATGCGGGAAAAACAGAGCAGAACGCGATAAGAAAAACGGCGTGACGGCAAATCATTGTGTCAACGCCTCCTGCGAGTACGCCTCAACCGGATCAATGTACTTGCCGCTCGCTTCGTCAAAGAGGTAGTGCGTGTGCAGCATGATCCCGTTATCGCGCAGTAGACGGTCGGCGGTCAACACTATACCGCGAAAGAAACCATATCTTTGGATTGCCCCCATCCCGAATCGGGAGCAACTCGGCAAGAAGTTGCAGACAGATAGGTCTTGTGTCGAAATGTATTTCTGGTAAAGACGAATAATCCCGGTCGAAAATAGGCGGATCGGCGTTGATTCTCTGGGATTGAACGGAATTGATTCCTGCTTTTGATGTGAGATTTGGATTGGATTCGCACGCAAGATGAAGGTGAGGTCAGCAGCCTCTTCAGGTACGGAAGCCCATCCCCACGATGAAGCACACAGCACCAGAATGATCCGGATGCGAATAGACGAGTTATCATTTGACCTCCTTGATTTTTAGGTCTTTGGGAATCTTGGACTTTCTGAATTCGATGGGCAGTTTGGGGTTTAATTGGGCGTCGCTTAT